GGCAGTTTCTTGCAAAACTAAATACATTCTTACCATACAACCCAGCAGTCATACTCTTTAGTATTTATCCAAAGGAGTTTAAAATTTACATCCACACAAAAACCTGCACACAGATGTATACAATAGTTTAATCATAAGTGCCAAAACTTGGAAGCAAACGTGAGGAACCTAAAGATGTCCTTCAGAAGGTGAACGGATTAAAAAAACTACGGCACATCCAGATAATGGAATATCATTCAGCACTAAAAAGAAATGGGCTATCAAGCCTTGAAAAGGCATGCAGGAAACTTAAACGCATATCGCTGAGTGAAAGAAGCCAGTCTGAAAAGACCACATGTGACATCCTGGAAAAGGCAAAACTAGGGTGACAGTAAAAAAGATCAGCGGTTGCCAGGGGTTGGGAGGATCGGACGGATGAGTAGGCAGAACACAGAGGATTTAGGGCAGTGCAACTGCTCTGTAGCACGCCATAATGACTGGTACATGTCCTTACACATTCGTCCAAACCCACAGACGTACACCACCAAGCATGAACTGTAAGGTAAACCGTGGACTTTGGGTTCATTGGAGGTTCATCAAGTGTTCCAAATATTTCATTTAGTGGGCCATGTTGATAATGGGGAGAACATGCATGTGTCGGGGTAGGGAATATATGGGAAATCTCTGTATCTTCTGGTCAGTTTTGCTGTGAACCTAAAACCGCTCTAAAGAATAAAGTCTATTTAAAATATATATATATTTAAAGGAATGAATTACTGATACATGCTACAACATGGAGGAAACTTGAAACCCTTATACTAAGGAAAAGAAGCCAGACACAAAAGACCAGGTATTGTTTGATTCTATTTCTATGAAAGGTCCAGAATAGACGAGTCTACAGAGACAGAAGGTAACGGAGTAACTGCGTAGAGGTAGGACGGTGACTTGAAGGGAAATGGGGAACACTGCTAATGCGGATGGGGTTTCTTTTGGGGATAATGAAATGTTTTTAAACGTTTGTGGTGCTGGTTGCACAACTCTGTGAATACACCAAAAATCGTTGAACTCTGCCCTTTATATAGGTGAACTGTATGACATGTGAATTATATCTCAATAAAGCCCTGTTTGAAAAAAAAAAAAAAAGGATGGAAGGAGCAAGTCTGAAACGTTCCACTCCTCCCCTCCTCAATGGCTTCGTATTATCCGGGGTCCGGGGGTTGTGTCGGGGATATGGGGGTACTGAGTTGTGGGGATGTGAAGGGAACGTGCGACACGGAAACGAGGGGTTTGGGGTTCTGCTGCCAGGCAGTGCGGGGATGCAGGGACCCTGGATGTGGGGACCAGTTCGGGCGAGGTGGGCTCAGCCGGAGGCGCAGGGATGAGGGGTGGTGGGGGTCCGGGGTAGGGGTGGCTGCAGGGCTGTGAGGAACGCGGAAGTGCACCAGCACGCGCAGGGGTGTGGGGCGCGGGGAAGGGGAGGACGCTTCGCCCCAGGGAGCGCGCAGAGGTGGGACACGGACTCGGCCGCCAGGGGGCGCGGATGCTGGGCGCGGAGACCCGGCTCTGCCGCCGGGGGCCGGAGGCAAAGGGGGCCGGGGGCGGACGCGAGGCGAGCCCGGGGGCTCACGTGGGGCGCACCGGGGGCGGGGGCCTGTCGGGGGCGCGGGCGGCGAGCATCCCGCCGTGAACCGCCGCCGACCCCGCGGACGCCACCCCTCAGTCCTCCGCGACCCGCTCTGCGGCTCCGCCTCTAGGCAAAGCTCTCGGCAGTTCGTTATTTCTCCCGTTACAAAAACAGAGCTTCCTTATGGGAGACCAGATCAGCAAGAGGGGAGAATCTCTCTAACCCCATCCGGACCTTTCTGGGGACCTCCTTTCAGATTTTCTTCTGCGCTTAGTACTTTTGGAGTCCATTAGGGAAAGGAACCCCAGGAGCTGCGGAGAGACGTTCCAAATACATGGATCCATTTTCGGAGGCGCTAAAAAAAAAACAGCATTTAGAAGACACTCCAATTTTGGTAAAAACAAAAACAGTACTTTTATATATGTAGCGTTCCTTCGTTTGTTCAACAAATATGTCTTGAGCGTCTGCCCTGGTCAGGCTTGATTTAGATGCTGCGGCTGCGGCGGAGCCAGGAGCAAAGGGCCCGCCTGCAGGAGTGAGCTCCGGGTGGCGTGGGCGCCCCGCGGGGCATAAACGGGCTCCTGCCCTCTCCGGCCGGGGTGGGAGATGGGGCAGACGTCAAACAGCCGGGGTGCGAGGCCAGGTCACGGCGGGAGCGTGAAGGAGAGGCGAGTGAGCCGGCTGCTGTAGATGGGCCGGCAGGGAGCGTGTGAGCGCAGCCACCGTGGCGGGAGGGGACTACGAGGACACCAGAGGCCGGACCTGCCCAAGGTCAGCAAGTCAGAGGAGAACGGGGAGATGAGCCGGATTCGAAAAGCCTGGAGGTCACGGTCAGATCTCCAGACTTCACCTTAAACGTGCCAGGAAGCCAGGGGGAGGGCCTGAGCCACGTCTTTAAAAAAATTGAGACGTACCCGCGTGTGAGTGTGCGTCATTTAAAGACCAAGAATTAAACCTTATCTATTGAGGATGCCTTTAGCAACCATCTCAGAGATTTGATGAAATCGTCTGGAACATTATTCTTGCATTGTGCACCTTCATTTTAGAAGACACTTTCATAACCTCGCTGGATCAGCACCACCGGAGGGGAGTGTTTTCAGTCGCTGCTCCCCTCCGTTCATCTAAACCACTCTCTTACTCGAGTTCTTAATTCCGATTTTTTGTTTGCCAGAGTGTTCCCTTGGGTAATTTTTTCCTCGAAGAGAGGCATCCTTTCTGAGTCTTTGCAGCTCTGAAGAAAATGCCTTGGTTGCGTTCACTCCGGACCAGCAGTTTGGGCAGAGTTCTTAGGTTGAAAGCTTAGGGCACAAAAGCTTCCTCTCAGAGCCTTACAGAACTTACCAACTTCTGTCAACTTAACGGATCATAAAAACCTCGGGCCAGAAAAGTCATAGGCCACCTGAATGTTAGTTCATACACAGGAGACCACCGGGTGAATGCCCCGGGACAGCTGGCCGGTGGGACACTGTCGTAAAAGGAACAGGGGAGCTATTTCTTTACCGACATGGAAAGATCTCTAAAATACACCAAGAAAGAATTAATAACCAGGCGAAGAACGGGTCTCAGATATGCTTCCATCTATGTAAAACAGGGCGGTGATATACGCGTATGTGCTGGTATGGGCATCAAATCTCTCTGCAAGGATAAAAAACTAGAAACATTCGTTGCTCTGTAGAGGGAAATGAGGGCTTTCAGTTGTAAAAAAAAAAAAAAAAAAGAAAAGAAAAGAAAACCTTTCATATCTGTTGAATTTGGATCTTGGGGGTGTTCTATCAAGAATATAAATAAAAGTTTCTGTGCTTTCCTTTAATTTTACTTAAAAATCAGAATAAATATCACGACTAAAAGCATAACAAAGCACTAACGCACACTTTGCCTTTTCTTCAGACAGACTTCCCACGGAGACCTCAATGCAGCCCTGGGTGGGGGCGAGGGGACAGTCAGCCAGTGACAGTCCCTGCTGCGGACTCTGCTCCGCGGTCCTCAGACCGCTGGAGAAGCCTCGATCCCATTGGATCCCGGGCTTTTCCCTCGGTCTGCCCGCGGGGCAGCCGTGCGGCTATCCTTGCAATGCAGCCATCCGCCAGGTGGGGGTGGCATTTCCCTCCAGTCTTGCATTGAACTTGACCCTCTCTTTCCAGCGAGCACTCCAGTCTGTCTTCAGCCCAGAGAGATTTTTCTCGTTTCTTGTGTTTCTTTCCTCCTCCTGCTCCCTCTCTCTCTCCATCGCGTCTTATTGGCTCTTCTGGATCTCTCTTGCATGCCTATCATCTTTCTCTCGTAGTTATTGTTTCTTTCTACTTTTTCTATGAGTTCTAGGAGAATCCTATGAGCTCGTTTCCCAATTTTCTGTTTCGGTTCTCTGCTCCGATTTTAAGCGCCGCCCCCCCCCCCCCCCCCCCCCCCCGCCGGCCCGAGGATTTTGGTTTGGAAATCATCTTTTTCATCTCCAAGACAGGGCATTGATAAAACAAAGGCTGGCGGCTGGGAAGAGGAAACATCTCTGTTCACAACATCCTTCTCAAACATCACTGAGAATACAAAGTGGTGCCGTTAGGTTTTTATTAATTTTATTTTATTATTCTTCTAAGTTTTCTGGTGCTGTTTCATGGGAGCGGAGGGCTCCTCACTGACCCCGGGTTATGCATTGGGAGTGTCCCCATGGGGACATTTGGGGGGCTCCGCGAGAGACCACTGGGTCATGGTGGCCGCTCTGGAACATGTCCTCCTCCCCCAGGGCCGCAGCCACTTTTGAGCATTTGCCCACTAGTGAGCCTCAGGCCGGGGACCGGGCCCAGGGCTTCACTCGGGAGTCCTAGCAAAGCCAAGGGGCTCCCTCGTGGGTCCCCTTGGCCGGCCGGTCCTCTCCACGCGTGGAAATAGCCACCGCCCCCTCCCTCCGGGGGCGGTTCTAACCTTGGAGAGGGGCTCCTGGTCGCCCCAGAACGTCTTCTTGGGCATCAGGCGCTTCTTGGGCAGTGGCACGTCCAAGGTCACGGCCAAGGGGTTGAGGGAGTCCAGCCGCCGGGCTCGGCGCGTCTCCGAGATTGTCATCTTAAAGCGGCCACAGGCCTTGATCACGGTCAACCAAGGGAGACTGCCGGACCAATACGTGCCGCCGCCGCCGGGGAACAAGGGTGGCTGCATGCCCCCCCTCCGGGGCGCTGTCTTCCCGCGCTCCTCCGCGGCTTTTGCGAAGCTGCGGCCCCATGGCGGCTGGGAAGCCATCTCGGAGCCAGGCCTGGCCGCGAACGGTGGCGCCGCGCGCCCACCCCCGCGCCCAGCCCTTGAGACTAACGCCCCCGCCTGGCCCACCGATCGCGCTGCCCCCTCTCAACGCAGAACACGGTGACCCCCAGAAAAATGAGCACACAAGGCACGAGGCCAAGGGTGTGAAACCGGGCGCCCCATCCTCGCGGCCCCACTTTGGGTTTTCCCGGCTCCCTCTCCCAGGGCGAGTTCAACGTGCCCTCTGCCTGTGAAGGGGCTCCTGGCCAACCCGTGTCTGTCAACGACGGAGAAACGTTCACTAAGGTATAGAATAGGGCTGGGATGAATTAAGATGCAGCTATTAGGAGTGGGTACACACAAGATACAAGAGCAGGAGGGAAATACCTGCCACAAGGCCAATGAATGTCCTGGAGAACAAAGGTCGCCTCCAGCCGGTGGCGGCCCCATTGCTAGAAACTGCCTGGGTGGATATTCCAAAATATTCAGCACTAGCATCTCTAGGTGAGAGAAGTAGAAGCGATTTTCTTCTTTCTTCCTCCTTTTAAAATTGTTCTGATCTTTCTATGATGTTATTGTGAAAATGTAAAAAGACTCTGCACTCTTTTCCAAAGGTCTCATCAGTGCAGATGCTGATGCCTCAGAGCAGGGACCCAGGGCTGCAGAGCAAGGGGGGAGCCAGTGACCCAGTGTACCTGCACAGGCTCCTGCTCTTTGGTGACATCGACCCTGAGAGGCTGAGGCCACCAGCTGGGATCCTGGCCACCATTAACCAAGGGAAGGAGCAGCAGCACGGAGAGGACACGCAGGAGTGGGAAAGTGACCCCTCCCTCCCACACAGGCCCTTGGGGAAGTCCAACTGTCCTCATCTGGACTCGGCTTCCTTCCAACACTACCAGAGAAAAGCCCCGCTGTTCACTGCTTTCTTACAACTTCAGGAAATAAAAAATCAGAAGAAGACAGAAAAGTCCATTTTAATTAAACTGTACAGTCTGAATTTTTTCCTCTGACACTAACTGAAGTTAAAAATAGAAATCAATCTTTTCAACCTTCCAAGGCAGCTTTGAGATAAGGTTTAAAAACTATTTTACAGCTGATTTACATCTAAATACAATCTGTACAATGTTGACTGAGCGACCCACAAGCGGCCACCATGGAGGGGGTGTGGTGCTGGCGCAGGCCAGGGTGGGGGGCTTCGATCACTGCCTCCTTAGTGGAAGACGTTTCAGCCTGGAAAAGGAAATCAGACAGAGGGGGAAAGTTAGCTACGAACCGAACAAGCAGACAGCCCCAGGGGGGCGAGTGTGCCAGGCGCCCTCCCCCGAGTCACAGGGGCATGTCTGTACCCATAAAATACAGAGGATGACCATACACCATGGAAGCGTCGTCTAATCTGCATTCCTACAGTGCTGCTTCTGTTATACAGAGAGACTCACTCACCCCATCTCATGTTAGGACCCGCTTATCAAAAGAAGTTCTAACCCTGGTTTCACTCACCTATCTCACATATGATGATCAGGAAAGAACTAAAGAAAACATGTTTGCTCCAAGGCCAAACGCTGCCAGGCTGTCAGCCTTAAATCTCAGCTTCACGCACACGGGGACATTCACGGCAGCTCTACTTATCGAGCAGAGCTGGGTCACACTGGCTCTGGAATCCTTGCTCTACAGCCCCAAAGTGGAAAACCAAACATCCCAACCACAGACTAGATGAACACTCTGCAGTGTATCCACATAAAGGAGTGCTCCGCGGCCAGGACGCACCTCTTGCTGCTCTACGAGAAGACGGGGACTCTCATGAGCCAGATGCCAAGGAGTTCATACTCCGTGGCTCCTTCCAGTAAAGTTCAAACGCTGGCAAGAGGAATCCATGGTGACAGAAGCCAGAAGAGTGGCTGCCTTTGGGGATGGGAGCAGGGATGGTGAGTGAAGGAGAGACCCGGGGGCTTTTGGGGGGCTGGTTTATTCTTTCATCTGGATGTGTTCAGGTCGTGAGAATGCAAGGAGCTGTGAACTTAGGATCTGTGTACATATATGCATGTGTGAGCACTAAACGTTTACTTAACTGTATGACTCCATGCCCATGAAATTCTAGAATGGCAGAACTTACAGGGTCAGGAGGTAGTTGAGTGTCTCGTGAGGAGGGGCGGAGGGGGCAGACTGCAACTCCATCCAGAGGCAGGTTGTACTGTCACTGGACAAGAGTGAGGGGCCCTTACCAAGAGGGGGACCCACGCCAGGTGCTGGGCATGCAAATAAGATAACCTGGTCATGACCCTCAAAACGCCCCTTCCAGGAGACACAGGCAGACAGGCAATGCAGAGAGAGTGGGGCGAGGCACCAAAGACGAAGGGGCCCATCCAGGCTCCCTGGGAGAACCCAGGAGGCTTCGGGGTGAGGGGCTGTGGGAACAGTACCTTCAGCAACCACAGGAGTAATATTTAAGCACACGCCACTCCTCCGACCCTCCCTTCCCCCATCCCAGCCCTGCCTCCCAGAGAAGTGCTCCCAGGTGTGGTAACGCCTCCTGCCCTCTTCCCCGTGAGGGCAGACACATATGTGCACGCAGGGACATCCAAGGCCTGTGCACTGTTCTGCAGCTTCTGGTCCCTTCGTGGTAAGTCACAGATGCTGAGCCTCAGCTGGTAAGGTTCTGTGGGCCTGGACACATGATGCAACCTCCTAACCTCCCACATGCTCTCCCTCCACCCCGCAAGATGAGGCAACACGAGAGTCGACCTCACAGGCTGTGTGAGGATTCAATGAGCCGATGCCCTGGTGGGCTTCCACAGTGCCTGGACCATCGCTGTCAGCACTGGCGCACAGCAGGAAACGGAAACAGGAACAGCACAGCCACTTGGGGGCTTGGGGTTAAACTGAAAAGCTCATAGCCTTTGTATTTTTGAACCATGAAAGTGTATCGTCTAGTCTAAAGAAATAAATGAAAAAGAGTAAGGGGGTGGCAGTTGTCTTTCCAGACAGCCATATATACTGTAAGGCCAGACTAATCAAAACAGGACAGACAGAAAAATACAAAACGGGGGCCAGCCTGATGGCCCAGTGGTTAAGTTCTCATGCTCTGCTTTCGCAGCCCGGGGTTCGTGGGTTCGGATCCTAGATGCAGACCTACGCACCGCTCATCAAGCCATGCTGTGGCGGCATCCCACATATGAAGTACAAGAAGACTGGCACAGATGTTAGCTCAGGGCTAATCTTCCTTAAGCAAAGACAGAGGAGGACTGGCAACAGATGTTAGCTTGGGGCTAATCTTCCTCACCAAAAAAAAAAAGAGAAAGAAAAAGAAAAAAAAGAAAAGTTCAAAATGGCTAAGAAACCAGAATAGGGGACCCAGGAACAGGCTCCATGGGCACAGGGATTTAGTACGTGATCAAGCTGCACTTCCCCGAGGAGCCAGAGCAGCAGATGAGGCTGAGGTGGCCAGGGCTCACCCTCGCCCTCTCCCCCTTCATCCTGGGCCCACTGCTGGACTTCCCCTTGCCTGCCCTGTGGTGGCCAGGCGGGGCCGTCCAGCTGGCTCTGGCCCGTGGGCCGGGGGATGGGGGGAAGACTACAGGACCACAAGAACCTCTGGCGCCATCCTCCCACCCATTCCCTTCCTGTGAGGGCCACATGTTGAAGAGGAACAAACTGGGATCCTGAGTCTCTTTCTCAGTTACTGATGCTTCACTGTGCTACGCCACTGGGATGTCAGGGTTCCTTTCAGTCGCAGCCGACTCACCCTGACTAACACGACTGGCTGTGCACTGGAGAAAGATAAGTTAGACGCCTCTGTTTGCAAAAACCCAACAATCCAAATAGATTAAACAAAAATGAAACTATAAAAGCATGAGAATAGTCTATATACATATATGAAATCTGGGTTAGGGAAGACCTTTAAAAGACAAAAATGAAAAACATACCAACAAAAAAACCTGGTAAAATTGAGAGCAACAAAAAATCAGAGCTTCTGACAACAAAGACAGTTAAAAGACATCTGACAGGTAACACACTAAAACACAAAGGATTTGTACCCAGAATTATTTTCTAATCCCTAAAAATCAGTAAAGGCGTGCCTAAAAACTAGTAGAACAAACAGTCTAACAGAAAACAGAACACTGTGCACAGACCACGTGTGAGCTATTCACAACAAAGCGCATGGCAAAGGCTGAGGCGCACGAGAAAGGCCCCTCACCGCATCTGTGGCCCAGGAAATGCAAATTACAATGAGATGCCATTCTGCACCCGCCACGCTGGCAAACATTTGGTACTATTTGTAAGTGATGTCACAACAAGGAGCTTTCATAACTTATATGGACACAGCCACTCTGGAAACAATTTGGCAGTATTTATTCATTCTAAATGTTCATACCCTACAGATTTATGCTATATAAAATTACATTATTTATATTAAAAATGCAAAACAAAATGTGTGTGTACCAAAAATGTTTGTGCACGTGGCTGCACAAAAAAGTCTTGAAAGTTACATATGAAACTGATGGCAGAGGTCACTGTGGAGAGGGGAGGTTTGGGGAGTAGGTCAAGGGCCACTTCAGGCTTTATCTGTAAGGTCTGAATTTCCACAATGACAATATATTCACATATTACTTACATAATTAAAAAATAACTTTAAAAAAAGCCTAATTAATATACAAATTTATCATTTCTGACATTTGCCTCTATGCAAATACAGCAAGATCTCAACGAGCCTTTGAAAGGTTTCTGAAAACCACGTCTCCCACCGCCTACCGTCTCAGCAGTTCCTGAGGTGACAGGTCTGCAGTCCCTTCATCATCACTCTGGCTGTCGCTGCTGTCGGTACTCTCAGAACTGCTACTTTTCTCTGACTTTTTATTCTTTTGTTTGCCTTTGTGTTTGTGCTTCCGGTGTTTCTTTTTCTGGAAAAAAAAAGTGGGAGGAAGAAATGGGTGTCTCCCTCCCTAATTCAGTACAATGACAGGCTAATGAGGCATTCGGTTGCTGGAGTCATTCAAAAACAAAAACAAAAAACCTATGTGGAGCAAGCTTTACCCAGCATGGGACAGACCGGGACACACAGCTGTGCACACTCTCCACTGTGCACAAACTCACAGAGCCCACCCTACATGGGACAGACCAGGACACACAGCTGTGGACACTCTCCACTGTGCACACACTCACAGAGCCCACCCTACATGGGACAGACCAGGATACACAGCGGCGCACACTCTCCACCTTGCACAAACTCACAGAGCCCACCCGACATGGGACAGACCAGGACACACAGCTGTGGACACTCTCCACTGTGCACACACTCACAGAGCCCACCCTACATGGGACAGACAAGGATACACAGCTGTGCACACTCTCCACTGTGCACACACTCACAGAGCCCACCCCACATGGGACAGACCAGGATACACAGCTGTGGACACTCTCCACTGTGCACACACTCACAGAACCCATCCTACGTGGGACAGACCAGGATACACAGCGGCGCACACTCTCCACTGTGCACACACTCACAGAGCCCATCCTATGTGGGACAGATCGGGACACACAGCAGCGCACACTCTCCACTGTGCACACACTCACAGAGCCCACCCTACGTGGGACAGACCAGGACACGCAGCTGTGCACACTCTCCACCGTGCACACACTCACAGAGAAGATCCTACATATACACATTCACAGAATTGATCCTCTAGTGACAGACACAGCAGAACCAAGCAGACATAGGCAGGACACCATCCTGACACTTAGCCCTCATCTTATCCAAGGTGACTCCTGCCACCTCCTATGAACCTCACTGGTCCATTTTGTTAGGCCTGTGCAATGAACTATGCATCAGGATGGCAAGCACCCTGGAAAAGCACAAAGAAGAAACTGGCAGAAGGTCAGAGAAAAGCAGATACACTGGTAAGAGACAAGTGAATTGATTTTCAAACCTGTCAGCACCAATTTTTTTCCTTTTACTACAAGAGAACTTTCAACATCTTCCATGCTCAGGAATCTTTTTGTCTGGTAACCAATGATGGAGCTATTTCTAATCAATTCTACTACTGCTCAGACCCCTTTGGTACCCAACACTAACATTGTTCTAATTAAAAGCCCATGCAATCACTGAAAAGAAGACATGGATGAGGGGAAAAGGGATGTCAAGGGCAAAAGCACACACTACTCCTTCTTCAAGATCCCTTTACTTCAAATAGCAAGCTATGGACCAGTCTCCATTTGTAATGAAGATAAAGTCATCGTGAAATGTTCAAAAGAATATCTTCATTTAATACTGAATGAATAATCAATTAATACTCTTTTCTTATTTAATATTCAACCATTACTCTAGGATATTTAAATGTTCTTTTTTCCTACTTTTTAATGTTCACAAATAAAAAATGTTTATTTAAACTATAACAATAAATTAAAATGTTCTGTCTGGAAAAAAACCAGTTTCTGAAAATCGAGGGTTTACACTGAATGTCAACATTTCTGTCAAGGAACAGGGAGACCTGTGCGCCCCAATCTTGGCCACCAAATGTTCCCTTCGACTGGCTTCTTGTGTCACGCCCGTCATGCTCGTCTGGACGGCAGAAGCAGGACCATCGGACCCACACACTGATCCGAGGACACCCAGAAGTTACCTTCTCTTTCCTCCGTCTGTGCTCTTTCTTGGTCTTGTGTTTTTCTTTGTTCTTTTTATGTTTCTCTTTTTGAGGTGTTTCAAGCTTCTGACGAGCATCTGAAGCACAAATGTAATAAGCACATGAACCACAGGGGAAAATAAAGGTGAAATTGTTGAGTTAGGAGCCTGACTTAGATGGAATGTTTGACATTAAGGCAGAACTCCTGCCCTGCCTCACTGATAAACAAACGGATTAAGATTAATTCATCCGTAGCTCTATATTTAGAAACTGCCAGAAACCTCAACGTAAGACCTGTGTGATCCAACCAGTCTCCTGCCATGGCCTTATCGCCAGATGACGTCAGATGAAGGTGAAGTCAGACCAGAAGGTCCACAAGCCTTTTGTAACTTAAGATCCCCAGGTGAACTCACAGACAGACCAGCGTCTGAACCTCGGCCTGTTGCCAGCTCTGACAGTCGCTGCTTACCCTCTTAAAGTCTCTGCTTCCCCATCCATAAACTGAAATAAAAGGAAGCCCATCCTCTTAGGGACAGAGAGAGGATTAGAGGGGGCCGTGCACATGAATCCCATAGGCCAGAATCTGGCACAGAAATGTCAGTTTCTCTCACATCATCCTCCCTTTACAAAAGCACATTTTCTATGAATTTGTCATATAAGTGGAAACACCAAAAAATTAGCATCAAAATAACATAATGTATGTAATCATTAAAAATGACCAAACAAGTTATATGCACCTAAACCCCTAAATTCTGACTGAAATGTTATTAATATCCAGGTACCCAAACTAGTAAAAATTCATAATAGTAGAAGCAGTGTAAATCGTTAATTCAACTTTTTCCACCTAAAGAAAAGTCCCAAGGTGTTTCAGAAGTGTGGATATTTTCCAAACCCAGTTAACAGGTGCCTGCAATTTTCTAGTCTTATAGTTTGTTCAGAAATTTCAAACTTTGACCTCCCGCGACTTCTTTTTTTAAATGCTGGATTTTGGACAACCATCTCCCCTCAGTAACCTATAAACCAGATTAAGCTATTAATTATAACAAGAATATCAAGGATGGTCTGGGAAACAGGCATAAGTAACACAGCTTTCAAGTGTTGACACACATTTTAAGCTAAAGATCTGAATAACTAAAGCCAGTAAGAAATATATTCACTGCTTTTTTTTTACCCCCCAAACTTCACACTTTTACTCCTCTCTGCTTTTTATCATCTCTTTGAAAGCTGGGTTAATTATCCAAACCAGTATTTATATGTGGGCACTATAGGAAACTATAAAGCAGATGACAGAATTATATGTAATTTATATACCTGGGCCATGTGATCAGAGGCTTCTCAACCCAGCCTTCAAAGATACGATAAACCAGCCTACACATTTTCACGAGAGATGTCACTTTCAGATGCCACTGAACAGAGGCGGTTAACAGATACGGGGAGGAGGATGGGCTGTATTCACTTCTGAAAGGATTAGTTTTATTTGGTTTGCAACATTAGCCAAAGCATGAACAAGTCTCAGAATATCCTTCTTCCTGCAATGTTTGTGTCCTCCCATCCTTGTGTCCTGGATTTTTACTTTTTTATTTCTGTAACTGGCAGCATTTGAGACACTTAGGACTCTAGTTTAAGTATCTGAAAGTTTAAAAAAAGGTTTAAAGGTCTCTGAAGCTGTAAAGCAACAACTATCATTTAGGCACTAGGTGGAAGTAACGAGTTTCAAAATGTGGCTGAGAACAGATAAACGAGAAATAAATGTGTCTATCTGGTGGGCCTGGTGTTGGATTAGACGGCCGGATATAAGGACATGGCTGGAGTTGTCATATCTAAGGGGAGACATTGGTGCCAATGCAAACAGGTGAACCAAGGAGTTCTCCACTCACTGGGGCAGAAGACAGGTGGCAGCCGCGGGCCGAACTCTTCTCTTTGATCTATCTGCATCTTTTGTATCGGGAAGGAAGGTGCAGGGTCCTGGGGTGGCAGCTTGCTATCTGAAAAACACCAAGGTATTAATTTCATAACTTGCCAATTATTAATGGGTTGAGTCTTTAACTAATGTCTGTTGCCACCAGATAACATGTGCTTTTCTTCACCACTTTGTTTAAACCAGCTCACGCCAGGTGCTGGGGACACACAGTGAACACGCAGACCTGACCTCCAACCCCACGGACATCTGAGCTGGGAAGCCAGTCACACAAGGGCACCTGCAGCCAAGTGCACCAGTGGCTGTAACACAGGGGTGTGTACAGCATACACTCTGGATCCCCTGAGACCTGAGGGTTGAAAGATGTCCTCAACGAAGGGCCATGTGAGAAGAATAAAAACTTACAAACAAACAGGGATATACGACTATGTCCCAGCTCAAAAAGCTGAATTTCAATCAAATTATCAAAGAGGAGAAAAACCGAAAATAAACAAGTTATCATGGTCACATTAATAATCTTGTTTAAAGAGATTACTACATTTTCAGACAGAAGAGATAAAAATGGGAAAAGTGTGGAAAAATACGTATCAAAGTGTTAATGGTGGTTATCTGCGGGAAGTAGGATTTCAAGGTATTTAAGCTTTTTACATTTCTATATTTTTAAACTTTAAAACTCAAGTATATATGACTTTATAATAAAAAATAAGTTGCTTTTTTTCCCACAGAAATAAGAAATAGGCTGACATTTGCAATCACCTAAGAACAAACAATATTTTATACCTCCATGTAACTTTTTGCTTAAAAGGCCCTCAAAAATTATACCCAAGTCCACCACAGACTGACAGGGGCAGGCGGAATACGCTAAGACTGAGATGGGAAATTTTGTCCACCCATCTAAGCATCTGAAAAGTCTCCCACTCTTGCAAGCGCCAGATGGCCTTCTTTCCTGCACCAAAACTCCTGGCTGCTGTAAACGGAACAAGCAGGACAGGCTACTAACCAAGCGTTAACCCACAGTAGATGGCTACTAACCATCTCCCAAGTGCTACTAGGCGCCAGGCAGCACTCATCTGATGGCCGAGCCGGAGCATCCACTCTGCCCAAGAGAGGCAGGCAGGGCGGGCCCAGGGTGTGTCATGACCTAACCTTCTCCGCAATCCTAGCATCTCAGTGACCAAGCTAAAACAAAAAGCTGTCTTTCAAATGAGGGCTTTACTATGCTTTAATTCTTCTCAACTAGAATAAGTAAGAAAATGAGAATTATCAAACACAGCTATCCAAAAAATATACTAGAGATTTATACCAGAAATGAAAAACAGAACTCAGCTCCACCTCAAATTAAAAATATAAGATGAAAAAACATCAATTGCTAATTACCCTGGTTTAAAATTGCACGGTAAACAAAGAAGCAGCTTCTCTAGAGACACCATCATTTTCTTCTTTGGATCCCAAAGTCTGAAATGTTGACATACCGTGTGCCCCAGATGATGTTTCCACCAAGTCAGTCTCTTGGGAACTTTTGAAGTCAGCCTCCCTGACACCCGCCTGATCGTCCTCGCTGTCACCCTGCTCATCCTCGGAGGACGAGGACTTTTCATCAGAGGAGCTGGCAAAGATGGCCTTGAATAAGTCCATGGATGGGCGGCTACCTTCTCCCTCAGGCTGTGAATCCACTTCTTTGTTTACCATCTGTATTAACAGTGAAATAAGAGTCAGGAATGAAGAAGCAAGGGTGAAAGGAGCCCAACACTCTAGAGCACACGCACACGCATGCACACACACATGCACACGCACATATTTGTGTTTCTGCTCATGTACATGGGTCTCCACACCCACCCACTGCCTAACTCAACAAGGATCTCTCACATGGCAGTAATTTTTGTGGTGGTTCTGAGTCAACAACGAGAGTGTGTTTCAGCGGAACATGCCAACTGGTAGAAGCAGCTGAAGCCTCTCACAGAGAGAGGTCACTAGTCAGAATTGCAAAGGACCCAGAAAACTGCAGGAGGGACGAGCAGTGCCTCTGTCCTATTTGCAAGAGTCTATCTGAGCCACCGAGGTCCAATGTTGAAGGTGAGGGAGACACCTTACTCGTATGAAAATGATGAGAAGAAAGCTGGGGGCCCTCGGCACAACGGGGAGGGAGCCAGCACACGCAGATAAAATGGTTACGGAACTTGCCTCTGCAATTACACATCACTCTTCCTAAAAGCAGCCCAGGTATGGACACTGAGATCAGTGAAACCAAGGCAGTAGGTTTGTGCACACTCAGCTCAGTAAACAAGGAGCAAAGGCAGTCAGTTTGTGCACACTCAGCTCAATAAACAAGGAGCAAAGGGATGAAGCAGACATGGCTCCCGCCCTCCAACAGCTCATCCCCAGACGGACATGGGGTGATCTCAGGTGCAAGCGATCCAGGAGAGCTCCAGGACCAGCCTCCGTCAGAATCCACTTCAGTCTTTCCCTTTTACCACTGAATAACCCAGTCAGCGAGCCTAGAGCCTCTGTCAGTGACGCACGCTTGGTCCCTGCCAGCTTGGTCCCTGCCAGCGCTCTTCACTCTCCGCCAGTGGTCACGCCCCTGGACCACGCCACCTCCAGTTTCTGGAGCAGAGTTTCAAACACCCCCAGGAGGAAAACTGGTACAACATAGTAGAGTTTGTAGTTTTAAAGTAAACTCTGCTCGTGGAAGAAAATTTAAAAAGAAAATTATACCATTCCCCACTAAAAATAACCAGGGCACCTTGGAGTAAGGGCTGATTCTAGAGCTGGGGCTGAGAAATAAGAAGATGAGCCCAGAACATCTTACTGTACCCAGAAAGGAGGGACATGCTCAGAGAGTAAGAGGGACCTATCAAAACGACATAGAAGCCAACAGGAAAGGGCTCCAACCAGCCAAACCAGGAGAACTTACGCATTAAAATAAATAGTGGTAGTACTACATTTATCCCTTTGGATAAAATAGGAAGCCACGGGTCCACAGTGATATAAAGAAGTAGTTTCATGAGGAAGGGGGTATTTACATATTTCAAAGCTCCTAAATACTTATTAAAAATAATTAAGGGGCCAGCCCTGTGGCCTAGTGTAAGTTTGGCATGTTCCACTTCTGCAGCCTAGGTTTGGTCCCTGGGCATGGACCTACACCACTTGTCTGCGGCCATGCTGTGGTGACGACCCACATACAAAATAGAGGAAGAATGGCACAGATGTTAGCTCAGGGCCAATCTTCCTCAGCAAAAAAAATAATAATAATAATAAAGTAAACATTAATAAGAAAAGAATAAATAAAAGTACTTACTAACTGCAAAGGGGAAAAGACTCACTTCACAGTGAAAACACCTAGCAGACAGCACCTCACTCAAGTGATCAAAGTGAAGATCAGTAATGGGACAAACTGACATCATGCACCACCTGATATGGATGCAATGAGAGCACAGCAGTAGCCCTTCTGAGGGACTCCTGCCAAAGATGCAGAACCTGGATTTAATCCTGAGAAAACATCAGACAAGCCCAAACTGAGGGACATTCCATAAAACAGTGGCTTGTAATCTTCAAAAGTGTCAAGATCATAAGTCGAGGAAAGGCTGAGGAACCGTTCCAGATTGAGGGAGACTAAAGAGACGTGACAGCTAAATGCAACCTGTGATGCTGAGCTGCGTCCTTATTGCTATAAAAGACATTATTAGGACAACTGGTGGAGCTTGAACAGGTGTGAGGGTTAGATGGTAGTAATACATCAATGTTAACTTCCTGATTTTGATAGAAGTACTGTGATTACATAGGAGAATGTCCTTCTCTGAAGGACACACAGGGGTGATGGGGCATCTGGTTGGCAACCTATGCTCAAGTGGTTCAGGAAAAAAACTATACCATATTTAAACTTTTGAGATTGTTTAAAATTTTTAAAAATCATACAAAAAGTCAAGAGAGAGAGCCTGACAGTGAAGCACAGGAAACCACGGCAACAATCTCCTAGAAAAGTCATGAATCTGAATCTTTATGGCAAACCACAGACACCAATGTCACATGCATGGACCATACACTGAATGACAGCTGGCTGACATCTGTGTTCATAGGCATCTCTGGCCTTTAATGGTACCTATATTATTAAATGTACAGGCAGAACTGTCATAAGTACATGAAATTTTCAATTCTTAGATAGCAACAGGAACTAACCTTTTTGTTTTTATTTTTTTCTGGAATAAAATAGGAGCTGTACTGGAATTAAAGAACAGCAACAACACACACCAAACATGCATCGATATCTACAAAGCTCTCCCGCAACCCCGCCTTCACCAAAAGGTGTGCCTGTTCACAGTCGTGCTGACTCAGAAAGTTGTCCAAGAAAGAAACTAAGTAACCCAGGGAGGGGAAGAGACCCTCCTAAGGTCACATGGCTAAAAACGGAATCAGCAAGAACCACGACTTTTTCCAGGAAAAACTATCTAAATGCTATCTCAACATGATTTCTGGGCAAACCTAGAAGGCTTTCTAATTTAACGACCATATCACAGAACCAGAATCCCCGAGGAGGGCTTATGCCATGAAAAAGTAACAGTGAAAACCCAACGCAGAGGTTCCAAACCCACGGTCATGCCCGCAGTGGCAGCAGCTGCCAGGCGGGTGCCTACAACTCTGAAGGAGGGGAGCCCTTTTCTCTGACCACAGGAGCTGTGGTCCCAACAGTCAGATGGAATCCCGCTGCTTTTGTCCCCCTCCTGCCCTCCTGCCACTTGACTCCAGTGCAGACAAAGTCACCGGCAGTGCAAGACAGAGCAGGGAGACGGAGTCCCCGCTTCCTGAGTGGAAGGCGTGAAGGGGGCCCTGAGTCAGGAAGCGCCAGGAAGACCATGAAGAGGAAGAGCTCAAGAGGGTGATCCCGTAGAGCGGTCTGTGAACTTCCGCCTCACCTCGGAGCTAGGCGTGCATGGATCTGACTCTAAATAGCAAACCAAAGGCTTTGATAACAGAACGATGGGAGGAAATACCAGCCGGGTCCCAGATCAGCCGCTGGCAAGTACACATGCAGGAAAGGACTAAAAATAGTACTATAATAAGGACTATGAATAGTGCTACAATGGCTCTGAAAAACGGAATGACATTTGAACCACAGCCCACAGAAGACAAGATGGAACTTGCAGCCTGAACCTAATTAGGCTGATTGTCTCATAAAGCAAAACAAAAAATCAACATTCTCTTTAGAATTTAAACAAGACCCAGGGTCTCATAACATAATCTTCAAAATGTCCAGAATGCAATCCAAAATTACTTGGTATACAAACAACCAGGAAAATCTCAACTTGCAAACAACAATCAAGAGGTGACAACCCAAAATGACGAAAATGTTGGAATTATGAGACAGACTTTAAAGCAACTATTATAACCATCCTCCAAGAATAAGGGCAAACAAATGGAAAGATAAAAAGGTCTCAGTAAAGAAATAAAAGATAGGAAAAAAAAACAAATGGGAATTTTAGAAATGAAAAATACAATAACTAAAGTAAAAAAATCAATAACAGAATGGAGATGACAGAGGAAAGAGTCAGTGAACTTGAAGACAGATCAATAGAGATTATCCGATTTGATCAATAAAGAAACAAAAAAGATTGAAAAAAGGAAGAGGCTCAGAGACCTGTGGGACAAAATCACAACAGTGAGATCATCAGAATCCCAGGAGAGGAATGAGAATGTGGTGCAGAAAAAATAATGGCTGAAAATGTCCCAAACTTGGTGAAAGATAAAGTTAAAGATTCAAGAAGCTCAGCAAACCCCAAACAAAATAATCTCATAGAAATCCATGCCTAGACACATGATAATCAACAGCTAAAAACCAAAGACAAAGTGAAAATCCTGAAAGCAGCCAGAGGAAAGTCATGTCATTATCAGGAGAGGAACAATGATCTGAATGAATGCAGAGTTCTCAGCAGAAACCAGGAAGGTCAGAAGGAAGGGGCACAACATCTTTAAACAGCTAAAGAAAAGAACTGTTGACCCAGAATTCTATAGCCAGCAAAACATCCTTCAGGAGTGAAGATGAAATACAGGACCTTCTCAGATGAAGGAAACTTAAGAGAAGCAGTGGAAGTGCTCTGAAAGAAACACTGAAGGAAGTCCCTCGACAGAAGGAAACGAGAGGAGGGACAACTGGAACTTCAGGGATGGAGAAAGAGCAGCTGCAACGGTAGACACCCGAGTGAGTAAAACACACTACTATCTCCTCATCCGTTCCTAAAACAGGTCTAACCTTGAAGGCAAACATAATAAAACACTGTCTGACGAGGTTTCCAGTGCACGTACATGTAATACATAAGACAACATCTGTGGGGAGAGGCAACAGACCTACACAGTGGTAAGGTTTCCACATTCCAACTGAAGTCATAAAATATCAATTCTAAGTAGACCGTGCAAAGGTAAGTATGTATACCGTAATCCCCAGAGCAATCGATA